AACCCCGCCAGAGGGTAAAGACTACACTCTCCTCCCGGTACCAACCTACCTCTCCCGGCCTCCCTCCAGCCAGCCCCCGGCATCACCCTCACTGCAGCCACAAACCCTTCACGGTTTTCTGAATGTGCCATGGACCGTCCCACCTGACTTCGCTCCTGCTGTCCTCTCCCGCCCCCCATGATGCTGTTCCCTCTTCTCTGTCATGGGGAAGTCTCACGTATGCCAACTTCTCTCTAAAGGCTCCCATGTGTGCTGCACCTCGAAGGGTTAATTACTCCTGATTCTCTCGTGACTTTGCAAAAAGCTTCTATCATATACCACTTATCAGGTTACATTGCCTGGGTGTCTCTCGTCTCCATGCCTTTTTCCTCTATTCAATAAATGTCTATAGAAGAAACAACTTGGCAAGCATTGCTAAAAAAGCTATTTAGGTTGGGGCTAGGAGAGGTTCCCCACCCCCTTGGATTATTACAAGCTTTTACCACCTAAGACATTCAAATGAATCAGTGGCCCCCTACTTGCAAATTTCACCAAGCTGTGACATCTCATGGCAGAGTTCTTGGGGTGACTCCTGCAGTAAGTGAAAACCAAGTCTGCAGTTATTTACTGGACATCACTGGGCACCCCACACCATTCCGTAAGCCCTGGCTCTTGCCACTGGGAAGTTTACAACGGGTCCTGAGCATACTCGGGGCCTCAGCTTCACTCACTGGGAAAGAGGATCTCATTTTTCCACCCGGGAAAGCTGAAACAGTAGCCTCTTCTCATCCTGCAATCTAGCCAGGTTAGATAAGCCCGGCTCTACCACTTAGGAGCTGTGTGATCTTGGCACATTGCTCAACCCTGTGAGCCTCGGTTAACTTATCTGAAAAATGGGGTTACTGGAGATTCAGTGAGGGTTGTTGTGAAGATTCAAAGAGATTTGTGTGAAAAATATGTAGATTAGTCACTGTTGTGTATTACACGTTCGGCGAATGTTCATTTGTCTTCCTTTCTCCCTCCTTTCCTTCTATCCTTCCTGCCTTCCTCCTCTCCCCCTCCTCTCAATCCTTCCTCCTGGAGCCAACCTGATGGAAAAGTTCACTTTAGCACACCAAATACTGGACCATAAGGGGCCATCAAATAATGGACATTTCACTGTCACCCTTAGTCTCCCTGGAGACTTTTCTGCCTTCTTATGGAATTTGTTTTTCTCCTCAAACGGTTCACCCAGAAGACCTCCAGATCCCCGAACACTGACTGGTCCTCAAACACCCCTAAGAAAGCAGCAGACACTGGACGTGCCGTGTGCCCTGTGCAAAGCTCCCAGCTCAGCGCTTACACACTCATGATCGGCGCGTGGTGTGCAACGCTCTCCTTGGAACGCAGTAATCACAGAGCAAATGCAAACGCTAAAGAAAGAACCAAGCAGGGCAGGGCTGAACCACACGGGTGATGCTGTGAAGACTTCAGGGAATCCACGAGAGGACCAGGGGGTGGGTGAGGCAGAAGGACAAGCTGTCCCGCCCTCGCTGGCACTGAGGGGAAATTATGCCCTGTTAATGGCTGACGACGCAGCTCTGCCCCGTGCATCTGAGCTGAGCCAGGGTGGCCCGCAGATGTGCTCGGCCCACAAATATGCAGTTGGCAACTCCTGAACTTCCGGTGACTTGACGCCAGCTGATCTGATCGGCAATTACGTTTTATTTTGGGGCCACAGAGACAGCAGAGAACCAGGAAAATTATAAGACATCGTAGTGCAGTTTTTCTAAGAATATCGACTACAAACTTTTTTTAACCAATTGTTGTTTTAATGGTTAGGGGTTTGCAGGGCACTAAAATAAGAAAACCCTGAACACTAAGATCAGATTATAGCCAGTTTTCCCAGGGGAGGTTTAAGCCTTTGTTCAGTGTAAATCTGGGTTTGATATAATTTTTTTGTAGGGGGAATGGGGTAATTTCCGCCAAGAGAATTTTGCTAGTGACAGTGAGTTCAGCATAGATGTAAAGAAACCTAGATTTGTAGTTTGTCCTGGGGTTCAATCTTACTCTGTTTCTTACTAGCTACATGGCCTTGGATAAGTTGTATAAAATCATCGACCTCATTCCTCCATAAAATGGGGGTGTACTGCTAGCTCCGGGCTTACTATAAGCTTAGATGTTTATAAGCATCTAGATAGGATCTGGCCTACAGTATTTGGTAACTAAGATAATGCCTTCTTGCCATAATGTTAGTTTCTTATCATCTAAAATAAATAGTTCCTGTTTTTACCATCATATATCAAACTCACATAACCAGTCAGTATAAAAAAAGGAAAACATCATCTAGGGGAGCAGTTTGTTTCTAGCAATTAAGAGTTTGTCCCCTGGTACCATTCCCCCAGGCTCAGTGGCTTCAACAGCCTGGCCGGTAGGGAAATACGAGAAACTTCAACCGAGCCCAGTTGGGTGCAAAGTCTGTAAATGTCTTGAGGACACGAAACTAACTGAACTTAACAGGAACACTCACTCTCTTCTCTCCTCTTAACTCCCCAGCCCACAGCAGCCCCAATGATCACCAAGACAGTTTCTCTGAAAAGTACCACTTACTGAACTTGCGTGGGAATGGAACAAAATCGCAGCTTGTAAAGGAAGCCAGCCTAAGAAAAAACATCCCGAGACAACATCCCGAGGAAACGGGGTGATTTTCCTGCAAGGACATTTCCCTGGTTGCCGGCTAAAGGGCCAGACAACTTGCCCAAGACGTCCTTGAGGGAGGACAGTGACTCACCCGCCCACACCCTCACGAATGCCTCCCAGAGCTGCCTCTCGGAGTCCCAGGATATTGCTAAATGGGCCTGTCACCCAGACAACGCTTGGAACACTACCAGAAGGAAGAGATGGCCAGGAGAGTCATCTCTCCTTTGGTTGGTTTGCAAATGGACCAAGCAGGGTCTCCCTTGCCAGTTAACTCACTCCTGTCAACCCTGGGGTAACAAGAATAACCAGACCCAAAGGCTAGGCACACACAGCCTCCTCACCCTTTTGTGCCTAGCTCTGAGCTGCATGTAGTAGGCACTCGCAACAGAAGATGAAGAAATGAATGAATGAGTGAATGAACCCAGGAAGAAGCAAACTCCATAGGAGGCACTGAGCAAGGCACAGCACCACGTGCAACCTTGCAAGGTGGGTATCGTTCACACTGTACTGTAAATGAGCGAGAGCATTCTCAGAGGGTTAGGTAACCTGCCCACACTCACGGAGCTAGGAAATGATGAAACCAGGCTTCGAATCCAGGTCTGACTCTGAAGTCAAGGCTTCCAATGTTGAAGCCACCCTCATGACCACAAAAATGACAAATCACACTTACAGAGCCCCTGACACATCGTAATTATTCCATCTTCCAAACATTCCAGAAAGATTTTTTAGACGGGAAAACTGATACCTAAGGAGGAACTCATCATATACCCAAGGTTGCACAACAAGTTAGAGCTAAAATAGGAATTTGAACCCAGATTTTCATTCTTTCAATCACAAGTGTTTGGGGGCACCCTCACTAGGCCAGGCTCTGTGTTAGTTGTTGGGGAGACAACAGAGAACAGGACACAGACACAGTCCACAGACTCTGTCCAGAGGGGCGGCTCCTTCAGAAATAGCTCTTCCCATGACACCATATGCTGCCCGTGAAAATCCGCAGCAGTGCTTCGCAGTTTCGTTTTGAAGGAGAAAATGATCTGAGAACAGAGGATGTCAACAAAAAAGATGGGAATGGTTTGCATCTGAGGAGCCTGGGTTGTTTTCAACGTGGGTTACCAGAACCCTCTCCTTTGTCAAAGCCCAATCCTGCCTCTTCGTGAGGAGGGGGTGTGTGGACAGGGTGGGAGACTCGCCTACAATAAGCAGACTGTTTGGGCACCAAAGGAAACCCAAATATCAAATTCCCCGATGAGTCACCACAGAACCCAGTACAGAAAGCCTCGGGCAATACTGCCTCGGCAGTTACCAGGCTAATCTGGCCTCCTCTGTGCCCTAGTCACACCTTGAGACGGGGCATGAGTTAAGCTGATTAGGCCACCCATGATGCACAAACTCAGGTCAATTTTTGCAGAAGGGAGTGCAGGTGCGAGACTGGGAACAGAGGTGGGATGAGAAAGTTCTCAGGTGCATCCCTTTGCAAGAGTTCTAAGAATGTAGCACCCACGAGGCCCAAGCATTATCTTCCTTCACCAAGCACCTTGGTCCACAGAAATACAAAATTAAGAATCTGATGCAAAATGCAATCTAGAAACTAGAGCCAAAGCAGTACTTTTTAACCCTCTTTCTCTAGTGAAGGTCTGTTGATGTTGCTGCTAGTTGTAGACTCCGCCCTGGAGTCTACACGTCAAGACCCACACACACCACTGAGGCCATCGCCATGGCGACCAGGCCTCCTAACTTTGCACCTAGCTTTCCACAGAGGACACTTGATCTTGGTTGGAGCTTTTTTTGCTCCAAGAGGAATTCTTTTTCACAATTGATGGCACAGAGGCCACGTTTGCCCCCTTGTTAAACTGACGAGTCAGATTTACTGTGACGGTCACTTAGCAAGAAGTCCCTGCACACAAGGGAGTTTGCCAAACTGGTACAGTGAGGTGCGGCACGTTTGGCATCTTTGGGCTTTAATAATCCAATGTGGGAGCTGTGTGGCGAGTTCGCCCACACTCAAGCCTGCTGTGGGGGTGTCAAAGGGGAGAACGCGCAGTCCCCGCCAGCTCTCCAGTTTCAGAGGCCCATTGCTGGGGCCTGCGACTGTGCGGATCTCAGGGGTCCGAACTCTGGGCGGGTCTGAATGCTCAGTCTAGCACTAAACCGAGGCATTTCCCTAATTCTAAATATCTCTTGCTAGAATTAGAAAAACGGTGACGAAGAAAGCAACCACTGAAGACAAAATGCCAGGCAGTGGGAGGACGTTTTAAATCCCCAAAGAACACGGCTTTGGAGTTTTTAAGTTATCCTCCACCCCCAAAAAGTTGACATGTGCTAACAGAGTCCCCAGGGCTTACCTGGATCGGGTTGTAGAGCTCCTGCAGGGGGCTTCGGGACCCCTTCCGGCAGCAGATGTCCACAGCAAAGGGGTTCCTCCGCATGACTGAGGAAAGAAAGTAAAGGCTCATCAGAAATGAGCAACCAAGGTTTGTTGTCTGGCAAAGAAAAAGGCACCGAGGAGAGAAGGAGAAACAGGTAGGAAAGGAAGAGAGAACATCGGCTTCTAGCAAATTGCAATTTCCAATTCCATTCCCTTATCCCGTGGTACAGCTACCACTCTATGTTCCCAAAATTCAGGCATCTCCACACCCGGAAGGGTAGAAATCATGCTAAAAATTCTTCCCGGCAAGGTTTTTAAAAAACAAGATAGGCATCTAAAACTCACTGAAATGAAACTGTTTACAAAGACAGTGTAAAGGTTGTTCCAAAAGAGCAAGTTCTGCCAAGCACCAGGCTTGGTGACGTATCTTAAGATTCCACAGACTTCTCCCTCAACAATCAGTGACCTCTTATTCCTGGTCCCTGGGAACCTGGTCTCCCGAGAACGGTGCGAGTTCTTCCCTAGGAAGCTTCTCCCACCGGATAAGGCAGAGGCCCAGCCTTCGCAAAGCCTTTCATAAATTACGTGATTTTTAATTAAAATATCAGTTTGAGGCAGAAAGGATGAGAGTTTATGGTCCCAGGCAGATGGAGGCGGCACTTACAATTAATAAAAGAGAGGGAATTAAGTGAACTCCTCAAAACCCACCAGCATTGCGGCCACCAAGAACCATTTTCAAATGGAAATGGATTCTTTCTGTTTTCATTCTTCTTGTTCACAAAACACCTGCACTCTGTACAGCCACGCACTCACACCGTGGCTAACACACAGCCACGGGCTTGACAATTCTCTGCTGAAGGAAGAGGGAGGAGGAGATGGGGAAGGAAGGAAGGAAGGAGAGAGGGAGGGAGGAAGGAAGGAAGGAGAGAGGGAGGGAGGAAGGAAGGAAAGAGAGAGGAAGGGAGGGAAGGAAGGAAGGAGAGAGG